GGCCAAAAATTAAACCGAACTATGATATTGACGTTTATACATCAAACATTAAAACTACAGACGAGCTCAAACCATTTTATAAAATTAATCGATCACTAATATTTCCTTAAAATAAATAAATAATTCAAGCAACGTTTACACAACAATTATTGTTTACAAACAAAGAAATTTACAAATACGCCATAAGCTCCTCAATACTCATCAAATACACCATAAGTTCATTTTAAATATCCCAGTGTAATTTGCTTCTTTTGAATGTGTATGTATATTGTATAATAATAATAAGAAGAAACTTGACAAAGTGGTAAATATTTAAGAATTAACTGTATGATATTTCGAGTTTTTCTTAACCGTCAACCACAATGAAACTTCCTTTATGATATTCTATGTTTTCTTAATGTTTAAACAACAATGAGACGCCCTTTTGGATATTCTATGTTTTCTTAATGTTTAAACAACAGTGAAATGGACTTTAGGATATTCTCTATTTTCTGAATTCCTCAACAACAATAAAACGTTCCTTTAGGATGTTTTATGTTCCTTTAATTTTTCAACAATAATGAAACGCCCAATAAGATATTTTAGGTTTTCGGAATTCTTCAACAACAGTGAAACCCGATCAGTCAACAATCTGAATATTTTAAAACTCTGTCATTGGTGGTTCTGGTGTTTAATCGTGACTCATCTCTGTGAAAGTTATGCCAGTTCCAGACATTAGGGGCGCAAGTTGGCCCTCCAGAAATCCAGGGACTCGAGTTGGCCCTATGGATTACACTGAGAGCAAAACGGTCTGGAACAACGTTCCTCTTCTTGAACATTCGTGACATAAGCCTTCCTGTTCTTCTAATGAATATCAAAGCGGATCACAAAATGGCGTTCCACCTCTTTCAAAATCTCAATTTAACCATTTGGCCCTGTGATAGATCTGTGGAACTTCGGAGCTGGCGAGCCAAGTTCGATTCCGTACGATACCATAATATATTTACGCACTTTAAATTGTGGGTGCATTATAAGAGTAACAGTCGATCCCTTAGCGTGGATGGTGGGCGGAAAGATGATGCCGACTAGGTGCGTTTCCTGTTGTCAGTAGTTCATAATTAGGGACGGCAGTAGGTAGTTAGCCTTAGTAGCTTTGCTATAAATACAAATTCAGACATCGAACAATTGAATCAAAAATAAAAGGAGAATAGTCATGGAGTCACTGTGTTAAGGTAAGGTCCTTAATTTCATATTTATTTCTGCGCCGGTTCGCAATCTGAGGGTCGCGGGTTCGAATCCCCGTCACACCAAACATGCTCGCCCTTTCAGCCGTGGGGGCGTTATAATGTGACGGTCAATCCCACTATTCGTTGGTAAAAAGAGTAGCCCAAAAGTTGGCGGTGGGTGGTGATGACTAACTGCCTTCCCTCTAGTCTTACACTGCTAAATTAGGGACGGCTAGCGCAGATTGCCCTCGTGTAGCTTTGCGCGAAATTAAAAAAAAAACAAACAACTTTTCTTTGTTTTTCTAGTTAGTAAGAAATAATTCAAATAAATGGTATGTTTTATCCACGGCTTTTTTCGTGGCGTATTCGTACTTGTATAAAAGTGTTTTTCGAACTGTTTTCAAAGTGAACATAAACTCATGGTACAAATAATTTTGAAATTACTCCGAAACATCTTACTATATAAAATGTTGTTGTTGTTAGGGTCGTATGTTTCGTGAAGAAGCTTTTTTTTATCTATAGCTTTCAATATCACAAGAGCGCTTCACCATAATCAATTTTCTGGTAGTTGCCTTTATATGGGACCCTCACGTCAAAAAACATTTTGTTTGATCATGATTTCAAGTTTAAAACTTATGTTGGAATTAATTAAATGTATGAGACAATCACATTAAACTCCTTTTTATTGTATATATTTTTAAATTGGAAATTCATAGGATGATGTTCTTCGAGAACTGGAAATATAATCATAACGCTTGTTAACTATTTTCGTAGAACATCTCTTTGGTATTAATATCACTTAAACATGATGAATATGATCTATAAAAACTATTGTTGTCAACTTTATATCGAGGCAGAAATTTTTATTTAAAATATATTCTATAACCTTTGTTTTACCACAAAGTTACAAAATAAACTATAAGCGCTCAGTACACCACGGAGAATGAAACCGGGGGTTTAGCGTTGTAATTCTGTAAACTTCACACTGTCTCTTTTGGGAATAAGAGGAAGAAATAGAACTTTAAGTCTGTAAACTTCACACTGTCTCTTTAGGGAATAAGAGGAAAAAATAGCACTTTGCGCTGTCTCTTTGGGGAGTAAGAGGAAGAAAGTCAATCAATAGGCTGAAAGTCTACAAGGCTCATAAAATTTTCACTGCAAATTCTTATTTAACATTTGTTAGTCTGGCAATTTCCTCAATCTGCCTTATTGCAAAACTGGAGTATGACTACTATAAAGTTTGAGGAATTGTTTACATCCCTTTTTGGTACTTTATGGGCCTTCGGGTGGGGGTGGGGGGTATTTTTTACTCTTTTGGAAACGTTTACTCCACCACAACTTGTCATAGGGAAAAAGAATCCAAAGGGAATCCACAATCAACTTTAGTATCTTGTGGCTATAAGAAGATCATTCTTCCAGTCTGGCGCACGTCGTAACATTCCCAATACCAAGTTACTGTATTTCACAATGATAGAAAAACACTAGATCTTAGTACAAGTTCTTTTATTTTTCTTCGTATTATCAATTTAAACTTTTTTCATAGTTAGATCAGTGCACTTTGCTTAACCTGCACTAGATGGCGAAACATACACATGAATTAGATATAATTTTGTTTGGAAGTTTGTGCAAACTAACCAGAATAAATTCATCCAATAGAAAACGTACTTAACATTTTCGCAATATAATGGATCTGTGTAAAATAGAGTGTAATTTGAATTATTTTTTCTGCACAAGTAGCTCCATTTATTTCATACTTTATACAAAGCAGCGTTTCATAACAATAACAAATCCCTTAATAACTCAAGCAATTATTTCTATCTTTTTAAGCACTTTAACTCACTTGGAGTCTCTTGAGAGCCAGTATGATTTATAGGGAAAAAAATAGAGAGAGGGCAGCGGGGGGAGAGACGGTAAAGAATATGTTCCTTAATAATACTAATAATGCACTCAGTGCCATCTAATGATAATAAAAATCTATGGGAACGAACTAGATTAATTAATTTTGTCTTTGGTTAAACATTCAGTCAAAAATCTTTTACTTTTTTAATATGAGAAAAATAATAATGGTTTGACTTTGTTTTAATTTTGCCCAAAATATGATTCACAAAATACTGGCAAAAGAAACTACGTTTTGTTTAAATGCTTGTCATTTATTCACCATTATACATACAAGTTGTATTTAACTACATAGTTTAATTGTATCGACTTTTAAACAACCAGCAAAGCCCTAATAAGCCATGAAAAACATATTTATTTGGAGACAAAAATTAAGGTAGTTTCCATTCAGAACGTCTTTTGATTATCGACGACTATCGTCAGGTTGGTCCAAAATCTACAAGGAAAAAATAAAACTTTAGATTAATATTGACAGTGTAGTTTATATATATATATATATGTATATATCAATAAAAAGTGCGATCACTGAATGCTAAGCTACATAGATATATTAAATAATATACACAAACATGATTTACAAATATGCTTGGCAGTGATAAAATCACCAATCGTTACTGCATAATTTCTGTAAAAGTTCCTTATGATACTTCATCCATGTGAAAACATTTTGATAGCTACAATTACAGGCTTTAGATTCTTTTTCCCCAATTGTACGATGTGGCTTAGTTGTTAGCGTATTGGGCTGAGAATGGGAAAGTCCAAAATTTGGCCTGTTATATGTTGTTGAACACGATCCGCAATCTGAAGGAATTATAGTTGTAATAGTCAATCCTATTATTTAGTTAAGAGTAACTAAAAATTGGACGGTGGATGCTGCTGACCAGCTACCCTCCCTCTGGTATAAATTTTGGGGGGGTTGTAATTAAACCTTAGGGATCTCTAAACTGATTGTTTAGCTCAAGTCGTGTCGTTCAGGTTGAAAATACCATTGTATTTTGCATTATTAACTGTTCTAAGATTATTAATAAAGAGTTAAAATACGACACTATGAAGGCAGGATAACTACGATTAAAAAACACAGTTAGTTGGGCCTGAAAAAAATGGCTTCTTTTTTTTCCAGTAATTTTTACACTGTCTAGGAAAAACAAATTGGCTAAGCCATTTAGAAAGCTTCTTCAGTACTCTGTTTTCCATTAGTAGGGGTTTTCAAGCCTAAAATAGCTATGTAAATTTTAGAATGTTAAAAACTGAATACTATAAAAAGTCAGCTTGAAGGCTTCAAATAGATCTCAAATATACTTTGTGTAACAGTATTATAGTTCTGCTGTGAAAACAAAAGCATATTTTTTTCAAATCCGTTGAATATGTCATAATCTTTAAAGGAAAGAGTAAAAACTCTCATTATAAATGTTTCTTTTCAAAATATATTTTCTACATTGTGTGTTATAACTAATATAATAATCTTATTTAACGCGATTTCTAAAATCTGTTCGAAGCTTTCAAGACAACTAACAAGATTGTTCGAAGCTCTCTTCAAGATTCTTTCAACCTTCATATTCTATTAGGAAAATACGATAACAGACCTCGAACTTGACGTTTGGACCTATCTCCAAAGCCATCTTCATTTTGTTAATTTGAAATAAGTTTTATTTTCAATAGAAGAAGAAAAATCCTTTTCACGTTTCTTCTCTTAAATCTCTCACTGAGCTAAGTAAGAAGCTTAATACTTTTTCTTTTGTACATTTTGAAATTCCAATTTAAATATACCCTCTTTAATGTCTAAAAGGCATTAATAAAAGACTTACACTAAGGTTATCTGCCCTCTTCCCTAATTTGAACTACTGACCAGAGGGAAGGCAGCTAATCAGCAGCGCTCTCTGATCAAAGAATAATTGAAAAATATTTAAGAAGGGGAATACGATTATTTTTGACCTCTTGCATCATTTAACTTCGATATCCAGCCCTCCATAAAGGTACGTGACGATGCAGAGTTTCATTGATATTTTATGTAAGTTCATAGCTTATAATTGGTGTCTATTCTTGTTTTCTTGTGAACTGTTCACTACATTTTAAAACATTTTCTACCACTTACTAGGTGATGCTTTATAAACTTTAGCAAGTAATACTTATCGAAATCGGAAAAGTTAATAAAATAACACCAAAAAAAATGTGAAAACGAAAATAAACTGGAAAACATTTCAAAAATAACAGTTGTTGAAAATTTCTTGGGCTCTCTTTAACTGTGGCAATGTTTCTAGGAGTAATTGAAAATCAAACAGGTAGGTACATTTGTTGACGCGCTTCGTCCAATATCAGAAATTAAGAAGGCATAGGTCTTGTCATGATTAGTCTAATATCTGAAAATATGAAGGCATAGGTCTTGTCATGATTAGTCTAATATCTGAAATTATGAAGGCATAGGTCTTGTCATGATTAGTCTAATATCTGAAATTATGAAGGCATAGGTCTTGTCATGATTAGTCTAATATAACTTAGTTTCATATTTCTACTTGAACATAAGTTAATTTTCAATACTTGAACATCTTACTATATGAGATTACCACTACCATCACTACAACAGTTTTCTATCATGAACACGACGACCACCAAAATACTACAATATTTTAGAGAAATCCCACAGAAATCGATAAATATAATGATTATAGATTACATCACTATAAAGATGTAAAGACGGGCGTCATGGGCTGCTAAGTCTTTGGAATAAGCAAGACCTGTGATACGGAAGATGCTCAGAAGAGTAATGAAAAGCACATCATGCTCCTTCCTTGACAATAGATGTCACTTGAACACTTGATAAAGAAGACAGTAAAGAAAATAAGCCAAAAATAAGCAGCAAGGAAATTAAAAATACCAGTCCTCTATGTCCAAGGTATCTTTGAAAAAATGTAAAAGATTCGTAAGTACAATAAACTCACTATAGTTTCGATACGTTCGGTGTGCACTAAACCACATAAAGTACCAACCAATGAAGAGATAAAACATCATTTACAACATCATGATAAAAAGTATACTTAATTAATTTCAAACATTAGATTAATCGTAAAAAAGACTTTACCTTCTAAAGTTCATGGCAGCTAAACGAACAGTTTTCACGATAATATAACTCACATTGATATATTACAGATACTCCACCAATAGCTCAACGAACAGTTTCCACGATAATGTAAGTCACATTGAAACATTACAGATACTCAAAAATAAGCTCAACGGACAGTTTCCACGATAATGTAACTCACATTGAAACATTACAGATACTCCCAAAGAAGCTCAACGAACAGTTTCCACGATATTGTAACTCACATTGAAACATTACAGATACTCCCAAAGAAGTTCAACGGACAGTTTCCACGATAATGTAACTCACATTGAAACACTACAGTATAATCCACCAGCAGACTAACAGTTACTTAAAGTTCCACAATGGGGGAGTATCTGTAATGTATCAATGTGAGTTATATTATCGTGGAAACTGTTCGTTTAGCTACTGGTGGAGTAGCTGTAGTGTTTCAATCTCAATATCTATAAAAGCAATTACTAAACACATAAAAGAATGCGAAACACTTGTCAATAAAACCCACAACACTGTAATACGAGTACCACTTTTTAGTGACATTTCATTAAGAGTTAGGAGTACACGGGACATACCATCTCAAACGTTTTGGGATCCACGTGGTTTTCGGCGTTGAAGCTCTTATAAAGACTTCTTCCGAATCTGTTAAATCAAAATATAGTATTACTGCTTGTTAAAATAATTTGAGCGAAATAATGACTTTTTAATTACTTTAAGGACTCTATGTATAGTGAAAACTCCAGAAAAATAAATGTATTTTTTCTTACCTTTCTATGATTTATTGGTATACAGTATATATATGTTTATATGGATATTCACAGCTTAAATTTATAAAGGAAATGTCTACTACTATAAGTTGTTTCTAAATCAAACTTGGTAGACCTGTAATGATACAAAACGGGGGAAAATACATTTGTCCACGAAACAGGGAACAATACAGTTGTTCACAAAACAGAGAAACATACAATTGTCTATAAGATGTCTATAAAATCAAACTTTCACGTGTTTTTGTTGTTGTTGCTGCTGCTGTTCTTTTCGGTCCAGCCATATTAACAACTAATAACTACGATAAGCTTTGTAAAGAGTAGGATGTGATCTTGTAATTAGCGTGCTGGGCTGCGTATCGTAAAGTCAAAGTTTTAACCCCGAAATATACTGCTGCATGCGCTTTTCAGTTCCAAATGTGCTTACATTATGAAAGTGATGGTCAATCCCGCTATTTTGCTAATAGTAGTCGTATAGGAGACGAACGAAAATTTCTTAGCAAGAAGTGTTTATTTCCGATACCCATAGAAAGTTTTGTATTATCTATTGTTAAATTTCAATTTCCGATTATCAGAGCTAATTTCTGGGTAATCTGGATTAACCATTATCGAAAGAAAGATAACCCTATTCTAAAAGTGGGGTTTTCGCTTTCTTCAGAAGCTAACGTCAGACTGAAAAGGATACAAGATTGTGTCCATACTAGTATCTTACCCCAGTGCCACAGCGGTATGTTTACGGATTTACAACGTTAGAAACCGGGTTTCGATACCCGTGGTGGGCAGAGCACAGTGAGCCCATTTTGTAGCTTTATGCTTAATTACAAACAAACAAACTGTAGTTTATTTGTTCAAGTTATTTGCTAGAATAAAGTCTTTTGGAGAAGGGTTTAGGTTCGAAATGTAAGCAATATTACCATAATTTATTACGTCCTCTATATAATTTTTCCGCATTTTAAATATCTCAAACAAGTTTTATTAGCGCAGATAACCCTCAAGTAGCTTTGCGCGAAATTCAACAAACTTTCATTCACCGAAACTTTTAGACGTTTGTTGTTTTCATAACCTTCACATACATTTCTTTGTCTTTTCTAATAACAATTTCCTAATTTCTAATAACAATTTAAGTTACAAATGCTAGAAACGAAACGTTGCACAGAAATAAATCTATTGTCCTACAAATAGCTGTCTCAAAACTTCATATTGTTTGTAATATAAGTGGGTGCCTTTTTAAAAAATCAAATTTGTTATTTTGTTTCAAAGAATTTAAACTGATTGATATCCTACAAATCTCTGTGACTAAGCAGTCGTGAAAACCAATATTTAGTACAATAATTTAACATATTTATTTGAACGCTAGATAGATTTTTTTGTACACGTACACACTATTCTTAGATTCTTTACCTCTTGGTTCCCAGTCTGTCAAGGTCTTTAATACATTGGCTAAGTTTATCATTCTTCTACTGTACATTTAATAAGATAGTAAAGGTGTCATTCACACAACCTACTATATTATGGCTTAAAGGTAAGGTTAACTACTTAATATTTGACTGTATTCATAAAGCGTTTGTTGAAATTGATTGAAGTATAAATGAAATACCTCTACCTGAATGAAAAATGAGTAAATATTCAGAGCAACTCTGGGTCTTTGCTTCTGTTACATGTATTATCTGACAACCTTACCTTGAAGAATGTGTAACTATTCACAGCAACTCTGGGTCTTTACTTCTGTTACACGTATTATCTGACAACCTTACCTTGAAGAATTTGTAAATATTCAGAGCAACTCTGGGTCTTTACTTCCGTTACATGTTCGATGACGAGAAACCCACTTTGAGACTAATAATGCTTGGAGACGGCTCAAAAACCCGGTCCTAAATTAAAATCATTACTAAACAAAAATTATTTAGAATCACACAGTACCAACATCATTTACAAAATAACA